TCCACATAAAAGAGTTTTCTCAAGATAGAAGAATACAAGATTATTTTAAAGTTTTACATACACTTATCAGAAGCCCCAGAAATCCTCCTCTCAGGCACTGGCTCAGGAATAATGACAGGGCAATGTTCTGAGTTTAATTATGTCTCCAAAAGATGATGTTGGGTCCAACAAACTACACCAGAATGTAGCCTGAATGGGGGAGACTGGTAGAAGTCGAAGTGATGAGTAGTTAGAAGGTCAGAGGGCGGGAGTGTGGGCCTTGAATCCAATAGGGCTGATGTCCAGATAGGAAGACTTAGGCACAAGGATGGGTGACAGACAAGTGACAATGGAAGCAGAAATGAGGGAAACAGATGACCAGGGAAGCAGAGATTGAGGGAGGGTATCTACAAATTTAGGAGGTGAGGGTGGCCAGAGCACAATGGCAGCATCTGGCAAGGAATGATTCCTTGATGGCACTTGATTTTTGGACTCTGAGTTCTCAGGACTCAGAGAATAAGTTTCAGCCATATTTAGCCACTCAATCTGTGGTGTTTGGATGGGTCCAACTCACCTACCGTGCACTTGTATTGACATGAAGCACTGTCGGCAGAAATATATAGCAGTTTTATTCATAAACTCCCCAAACTGAAACATTATTTTTATGACACATAACATGTTTTGGACAAATGGATCAAAACCTGAAACTAAAGCTAAAAGATAAAACCTGTGAAATGGTTGAATACAAAGGTAATGCAGAGAAAGAGGGAATGATCAAATTGTTCTAGGTCATCACCAAGATGGTGGACACAAGTTTTCAATTCTCCAAATTCAAGGGACTCTCTGTCTAAAGAAGTGAATGCATATAAATTTTGGAAAAATCAAGCAGAATTTGGACATATTCCAATATGATGCAAACTACTGTAAGTGTATTTTGCTGTATTATAATTAAGTAACATAAGAAAATTAAAGAGGTAAATATAGAAATATAACCAAGTGATTTGGGGAAATAGTATTTTAATTGTAATATATAAATAAAAACAAATAATATACTCATCATGTGAATTGTTGTTTTTATATGACTGTTTAATAATTGCAGTGATACATGTAACATAAACTAGGGTTGAACAAATACGTAAAAATACTGCAGATAATGAGAACAAGTCTGCTATAGCCAAAGGAAGAGAATACAGAAAAGAAATGGGAAAAGCCTTACATGAACACCGTGGTGTAGGATTGGAATCTCATGTCTCAGTATACACTAAAGCCTTCTAAATGCAGAAATCCATCAATATCCTGGGAGATTCTTTCCAGAACACTCAGGGATACAATATCTTTGGTCTCTAAAGTCTCTGAAGTTTATATGAAACTCTGAAGTTTATATAAAATGCCATAATACTCACATGTAAACTCTGCATGTTCTCTGATATTATTTAAGTCATCTCTTAATTACTTATAATACCTTATACAATGTAAATGTTACTTAAATAGTTGTTATCTGTGTTGTTTAGAAAATAATGAAAAACTTGTACATACTCA